ATGTGAACATCTCTTGACAGAAGAGAGAAAGAACAAGAGAAAAAGAGAGATTGGCAAGTGAGATAAAGTTGGTTTCCTAAAATGAACCAACTCAGAAAGGAAGTGAAGGTGAAAAGCAAATGGAGGGGTAGGGGTTTTTTGACCTAAAAACAGGAGAGCAAAGGCAGATTAATCCCAAGCAATATCAAATATAATTTATGCCAAAACTAAAAATCTGGAAAAAAGATTGAAGACAGAATGTTTTCCATTTCTATTAAAGTCCAAAGTTACAAAAACAGGAAAACCAGGCAGATAGCCAGTGTTTGTTCAAAAGATGTCCCTTAGAAACAAAAAACAAATATGAACAGCAGTGGCCTATTTACAAGGAAAAAGGCAATGCAAATCTAAGCTAAATCAAATTTACACTGAATGAACATAGCACTGAATGCATAGTTCTATTCTCCTCCCCCTTCTTGTTTTAAAAGGGCAGCAGGTGGCATTATCTCTTTGTGTCTGTTCCAATTAGTAATCAACAAATGGACTGGTAAATGGCTAAAAAAAACAAATTAAGACTATATTCTTCCTTTGCTTCTAAAAAATTTGAGGTGAGACATGTCTCCTTGACAGCATTGACCTAACCCATCAAGAAAAAACACTAATTTACTGATGTAAAAAGATCTCCAAGATATACTAAGATAAAATAAAACAGCAACATGCAGAACAGTACCACAGCAGGCTATCTTCTGTATATAATAAGAGGAGAAAAATAAGAGTATGTATTTGTATTTATTTTTATTTTTATAAATCCTGGAAGAATGCACAAGAAACTAATACGTGGTAATGAGATTTTCACATGTTGGGGTATATGTGGTAACTATTCTGATTCAAAACTGATTTGGCTTGAACTAAAAAGAAAGCCTGATTTATGGCCTATCAAATGTACATTGTACATCTGCTTTAACCATTAACCAAATAAGAATGCATACTTCCCCTCCTACAAAGCCAGTAATGCCCTATTGGTAAGGCCCTATCAGTAACGCCTCTGTTAGTACTCTGAAAATCAGTTCCCTTTCCCAACATCAGGCTCATGTTAACTTCCGAATTTGCAACTGAATACATCTTTGAAATTTTGATGAATATGTATCCTGGGCATGTTTAATGTATGATTCTTACTTCTAAAGAGGTACAGGACTGTACTGAAAACCATGCTTCTCTAGAATGCTTTCTTCCTTTCTGGAGAGGTCCTTTCCAGGTTATAATCCTCACTTTGGCTCAAGTAAACTCACCCTATCTCTCTTATCTATAGAATAGTTGTCGGTTATTTTGCATCATCCACAGTGGTTACCAGTAGAGTGGAGAAGGAAGGGCAGATGGAGGACAGGATGGAGGTGAAACTTTTCACTGTATGCGTTTTATGTTGCTTAATTTTTTAACCATGTGATTATATCACCCATTCAAAATTTTAACTTAAAAAGAAGAGAAAACTACTAACTTGACTTAAGCATATATTTTCATTTCTAAATTGTTTCCACCTTTGCCCTTACATTTTATTTTATAACAGCATATTCTTTTAAACACGACAAAAGACCTCAATCTGATTAAAAATTAAAGACTTAACACCACCAATTATGCTATTCTTTACAGCTAATTTGGGGTGAAAGTAATTCTACCATCAAAACAAGCTTCCCTGGTACTACTTAAGCTTCAATCCATAAAAATACTACAGTGTAATTTTCACCTATCAATCCTTAGTTTAAAAGCCTTCAATGGCCATCCATGTTGCCTAGAGAATAAGGTTCTTACTCCTCAGCCTGGAATCAGACCCTAAACAAGCCAGCCCCTCTCCACTTTATCTCCCACTGTTCCCATTCACAACTTCTTTAATTTAACCATTTCAATCTATTAAATGATTAAACATTCCTGAATTTGCCTGCATGTAGTGCCTTCTGCCACATCCTGTCCACCTATCTTCCCTGTAAGGCTTAATCAAGTCTCACCATCCTTTTCCCACTCCCCATCCCACATTAGTTCTCTTCTCAGAATTTCTGTAGCATATGATATCATTGGCGCTTAGCCTATGCTACTTTTCACACGATACATATTGTATTCCTTTTTCAGAACAATTTTTCTAAACTATCACAATATAACATCTGAAAAGACTAAAAGTAGGCATAGAGGGCACAACTATATCAGCCTTGTTTGTCTTTTTTTATCGCATATATCCTGTCTCTGTCTAGACTGCAAGCACTTTGTCTTATTACTAATTTGTATCATGGTTTTGGGACAATGTTCTATACAAAGTACGTGATTAATAAACATTATTGATGACGATACAGAAGACCATGACAGGGTCAGGGAAGAAAACCTGACTTGAAGAAATGTCTGTGTTTTGACACCTATCACGAGACTCAGGAAAATCAATCCATTTTGCAGGCACTCTGCAGGCCCCTCTAGAGAGGAATAGTTTCCTCACTAGTTTTTTTCAAGAACTACCCTTCTCGAACTGGCCCTCCCAGAACTATGTCTCTTGACTTTTTGCTTTTAGTCTCTTGCTACCTAAACTGATACATTGAGTTTGGGGTGGGTTGGTTGGCACTTTGAAATTGAAGACACTTGATAAACAAATTGTAGTGTATCAGTACAGTGGAATGTTATTTGGCTATAAAAAAGAATGAAGTACCGGCACGTACTACAACTTGGATAAACCTTGAAAACACTATGCTAAGTGAAAGAAGCCAGTCACAAAAGTACACATGATTCCGTATATGATTCCATACACATAAAGTAAAAAATAATTCAATCTATAGAGCAGAAAGTAGACTAGTGGTTGCTTGGGAGCAGTTAGGGAGGTTGGGGGGTAGGCAGAATGATAGCTAAAAGGTATAAGGTTTTCTTTGGAGGTGATGAAAATATTCTGAAATTGACTGTGGTAATAATTGCACTTATCTGTGAATATACTGAAAACCATTGAATTATATACTTTAATGAATGAATTTTCTTGTATATGAATTATATCTCAAGAAAGCTGTTTTAAAAAAAGAAACTGAAGACATTTTATGTGTTCATGTTTTCTCTCCCCAATCCATACACCCCTTGAACCTAGAATTCTAGTGAATTTAGAATTAATACTTATTACCTATAATTAAATGACTATTACTTGCCTGTAGCTACTTTCCTTGTCATACCTCCTAGTTTGGACTATAAAGAATGTACAGTTTTCTTTTCTGTCACCACGGGGGTACACTTAATGCCCTAACAGGAATATAGTAATTTGCTTGTATAAAGCAGGTGAGTCCTACTTTTTTACCTTAACTTAGAACTAAGAAATTAGACTCTTGAATTAAGACATCAAATGCATAATCTTCTTCTTGAGTCTAGTATGTTATCATGAAATTCATGACACCCTCCACAGGGTAAATGGGTAAACCCACTTACTAAATGTATAAAACTAAAATGCCCTTAAATATTCCACTCAAGTCTCTCTGGGACATATTTTTCAGGTGGCACCATCCCGGTTCCCCATCCACCTCACCAAGGGGCAGATCAGGCGTAAGAAAGCAAAGCACCAGATGCAGCCCTATTCTAACCTCCAAATACCTGTTTGCCCACATCTCACTAGAGCCCTTTGTGTCCTCTGGTCTAGTCACACCTGTTGTGACAATGAGCCTGAACATGTCTAGTACTTTTCATAGCTCTGTGCTTTGGCTCACCCTGGTGTGAAATCTTCCTCCCTTCCATCCTTTGAGACTAAGCTCAAAGTTTTCTATGAAGCTTCCCTAAGCAACCAATCCTCACGGTCCAGTGTATACGGTCAGTGTGACCTTTGGACTTCCATCACATGTGACTTGTACCTATTTTATACCACCTTACATGAACAGTTAATGGCTTTACAAATGTATCTCTTACAATTGTAAGGCACTTGAGAGGAAAGACCAAACAATATTTTTATATTCTCAATTTAACATTTTCTGAGCTGAGAGTGTTATCCAGAGATATTTAACAACTTGATTAAAAAGAAATGTCTGTAAGAAATCTCATTAGATGAAGAAGTTATAGTTGTGTTTATATATAAAGGGTGCACAGTACTTCTCTTTAAACCAGCTCTCTCAGAGACAAATGACAGATGCTAGCAGATTGCCTAAAGGTCCAGGTAGGGTCTTAGAGCTGGGTGGAGGTACAAAGAACTGATGAAAGAATGGTGACAGGGCCACTCCAGGATGCTTTTTCTTGGTGTTGGGCTCAGTGAAGTAGGTCAGTTACCAAACAAAGGATGATTTGAAAGACTTTTCAAAAGCTCTCTGTTCAAAGTGCCTCTTCCATTTTATACTACTAATAATTGAAATGTCACCACTATTAGAGGCTCATCCAGTACTACCCTCACTCCAAAGGCAAAGACGCCTTGGGGGGTTAGTGTGTTTTAACTTCTCCTCTTTCTTTTCTGATTTTATTTATTTGAGCCTTCTCTCTCTTTTTCTTAGTGAGTCTATCTAAAGGTTTCTTAATTTTATCTTTTCAAAGAACAAGCTCTTATTTTCCTTCATCTTCTCTATTTTCTTTTTAGTCTCTATTTCATTTATTCCCACTCTGATTTTTATTATTTCCTTCCTTCTACTGACTTTGAGCTTCATTTGTTCTTCTTTTTCTGGTTCCTTTAGGTATAAGATTAGATTATTTCAGACTTTTCTTGTTTCTTGACCTAGCCCTGTATTGCTGTAAACTTTCCTCTTAATACCGCTTTTGCTGTATCCCATAGATATTGGTATATCATATTTTCATTTTCATTTGTCTTCAGGTATTTTTTTATTTCTCCTTTGATTTCCCCATTGATGCAACAATTTTTCAATAGCATGTTGTTTAGTCTCCACATATTTGTTATTTTTCCAGCTTTTTTCTTGTATTTGATTTGAGTTTCACACTATTGTGATCAGAAAAGATGCTTAATATGATTTCAATCTCTTAAATTTATTGAGACATGTTTTGTGTACCCACATATGGCCCATCCTTGAGAATGTCCCATGTGTACCTGAGAAGAATGTGTATTCTGCTGGTTTTGGATGGAATGTTCTGTATGTATTTACTAAATCCATCTGGTCCAATGTTGCATTTAAGGCTAATGTTTCCTTGTTGACTTTCTGTCTGGATGGTCTATCCATTGATGTAAGTAGGATGTTAAAGTCTCCTACTATTATTGTGTTGCTTTCCATTTCTCCCTTTAGGTCTGTTAATAATTGCTTCGTATATTTTTGTGCTCCTATATTAGGTTCAGATATATAAATAAACGTTATATCTCCTGATGGGTTGTCCTCTTTATCATTATATAATGTCTACCTGTCTCTTGTTAACTTTTTTGGCTTGAAGTCTATTTTATCTGACATAAGTATGGCTACATTTGCTTTCTTTTGGGTGCCATTTGCTTGGAATATCATTTTCCAGCCCTTCACTTTAAGCCTATGTTTGCCTTTAGAGCTGAGAGGGGTCTCCTGGAGGCAGCATATAGTTGGGTCTTGTCTTTTAATCCATCCAGCCACTCTGGGTCTTTTGATTGGTGAATTCAATTCATTGACATTTAGGATGATTATTGATATAGGAGGGTTTAATACTGCTATTTTATCTTTTGTTTTCTGGTTGTTCTATCTTTCCATTTTTTCTTTCTTTTCTTTTTTTTTTTTTTTTTGTATTTCTGTCTGCGTTTTCAATTTGGTGTTTTTCTGTGCTGTTTTTCTCAGTTCCTTCTTTTTTTATGTTTTGTATCTGTGTGCTAGCTTTTTGCTTTGTGGTTACCATGAAGGTTATATAAAACATCTCACAGATGGTATTTTTCTGCTGATAGCATCTTATCCTCATTTCTTCACACAGGTTCCATTTTTCCTCTTCCCCTTTTGTGTTTTCCTTGTCACAAATTATCCCTTTTTTTCTTGTGAGTTCATTACTAAATTGAAGCAGCTAAAGTTTTTTTTTTTTTTTTTATGAGGAAGATCAGCCCTGTGCTAACATCTGCCAATCCTCCTCTTTTTTTTGCTGAGGAAGACTAGCCCTGGGCTAACATCCATGCCCATCTTCCTCCACTTTATGTGGGATCCTGCCACAGCATGGCTTGCCAAGTGATGTGTTGGTGCATGCCCGGGATCCGAACTGGCAAACCCCAGGCCGCCGCAGCAGAGCACATGCACTTAACTGCTTGCGCCACCAGGCCGGCCCCACTAAAGTTGTTTTTAAAACTTTTTTCCCCTTTAACTTTTATGCCATAATTGTGTAACAAGCTATTCTAATATACAGTTGGAATTTTCTGATTCTGTCTGTCTGTTTATCCCCTTAATTAAAGTTTTTTTGTACTTTTGCCTCTTTGTTTCATGTAGAAGAACTCCTTCAGCATTTCCTGTAAGTCAGGTCTAGTGGTGATGAACTCCCTCAGATTTTCCTTGTCTGGGAAAGCCTTTATTTCTCCTTCGTATCTGAAGGATAACTTTGCTGGATGGAGTCTTCTTGGCTGACTGGTTTTATCTTTCAGTATTTTGAGTATGTCATTCCCCTCTCTCCTGGCCTGTAGAGTTTATTCTGAGATATCAGCAGATAGCTTAAGGGGGTTTCTTTTGTAGGTTACCGTCTTTTCTTCCCCAGGCTGACTTTAAAATTCTTTCTTTATCCTTGTCTTTTGACAGTTTTAATATAATGTGTCTTGGAGAGGTCTTTTTGCATTGAGATAATTTGGTCTTTATTAACTTTGTGGATTTGTATATCCAGTTCCTTCCCCAGCTTTGGGAAGTTCTGACATTTTATTTTTAAGTTTGCTCTCTGCTTGCTTCTCTCTTTCTTCTCGTTCTGGGATACCCAATATCGTTATGTTGCTTTTCATAATGGAGTTGGATAGTTCTTGTAGAATTACTTAATTTTTAAAATATCGTAGTGTTCTCTCATCTTCTACCAGAATCATTTCTACATTTCTGTCTTCAAGCTCACCAATTCTCTCTTTCGTCTGGTCTGCTCTATTTCCAATGCTTCCTAATGCATTGTTCATCTCATTTATTGAGTTCTTCAGCTCTAGAATTCTCTTTGTTTCATATTTTTACCCAAAACTTAACATTTATTCTTTTCAAAGTGTCTGCTCAATCATATTCAGTTTATTTTACAGCCCTACCAAATGGTTTGTGAAATGAAAGCAGATTTCACTTTATTTCACCTGTGTTTGGCATAACACCTTGGATGACAGTTTGGATTGTATTGTGACATGTTAGACAAGCCCATTAGAATAATGACAGCCTGCCTTTGTGTGGTGCTTTTCTGTTTACAAAGCACTTTCACATACCTTATCTATTTTGATTCTCATAATAGTCTTGTGAGACTGACAGGGGAAGGTTAATATTCCCGCTTTAGAGGTGAGGAAACAGGCTCAAAGAGCTAAGTGATGGCCCAAAGTCATTCTGTCATTGGCAGGCCAGGACCAGGATCTGATCATCCTGACTCCTAATTCAGGCCCATTTTACACTGATATGAAACCTCACAGTCTGAAAATTTAAAGTATAGCCCTTTAAAGCGTTAATTACTTCATTTAGAAATTAATTCTCTTGCTTATTCATCAGAATTACATAACATGCTGGCATTGTAGAAAAATGAAAAGGAGATCATGTGTTTAGCAGAAAACTAGACTCATTCAGTGTGCAGAGATATTCCCTACGAGGATGCTGTTTTGCATAGTCACTTTGCTAGTTATAACCACTTTTAAACCAATGAAGTGTACTTTTGCCAAAATTGGGTGTGAACGCTTTTGATTGTCAATTTGCCTGCGTTGCACTTTCTACCATGTGGTGGGGGGAAGTGGGAGCCAGGGTCATGGGTGCCTCAGGGCCACCTGGGGTTGTCGGATCCACAGATGTCACCACCAGGGCAGAGATGGGGCGGAGTCATGGGTGGGGATATGACTGGAGGGACTGGGATTTTGGACCTGCCTTTGTTGCTATTTTGTTCCCTGTGGTGGCAGATGCTACTGAGACTTGGAAGTCTGAGTCTTGTGCGCCTCCCTTGTTGTTGCTACTGGGTTCCCCGGGGCTGTGGACTCAGCCACTGCAGCTAGGGGCTGGATCGTGGGCACCGCCTCTCCTGTTCCCCCAATTCACCTCTTCTGCACCTTCCAATCCACCCACCTTCTGTTGTACAGATGTGTGAATCTCTCTTTGTCTTGGTGTGTTGAGCAGAGGAAACTGTTGAGTTGTGGATGTTTTACTAGTTGTAGATTGAAGGGGAGAGACAAAGGGAGTGTCTCATGCCACCATATGATGCTATGTCACCCAATCTGCCATTCTTTATGGCTGTCCAGCTTTGAAAATATTTCCTAATAACCAACTTTTCACTTCAGGATAGCACTAGGCTGGTCTAAAGGCTTATTATTATGATACTCAAAGATATAGGAAACTGATCCATGTTATGATTCCACAATACTGAGTTCAGGAATGTTCTGTAACCAGGATGTACTAGCCTAGAGAGCCTGAGAGACACGCCATAAAGAACCAAACTGTAGGGGGCTGGCCCTGTGGCTTAGCGGTTAAGTGTGCGCGCTCCGCTACTGGCGGCGGGGTTGGGATCCCAGGCGCGCACCAATGCACCACTTCTCCGGCCATGCTGAGGCCGCGGCCCACGTACAGCAACTAGAAGGATGTGCAACTATGACATACAACTATCTACTGGGGCTTTGGGGGAAAAAAAGGAGGAGGATTGGCAATAGATGTTAGGTCAAGCCCGGTCTTCCTCAGCAAAAAGAGGAGGATTAACGTGGTTGTTAGCTCAGGGCTGGTCTTCCTCACAAAAAAAAAAAAAAAAAAAAAACCAAACTGTAGTTGGCAATAGTATTGTGTGTTGTGTGACCCTTAGAGACTTGAAGTGTCTCTGCCCAAGGAGGGTCTCTGGGCACGTTCACACTTGCTTATGAGTACAACCAGACTGGACTGAGAGATACTGTTATATTTCCACAATGTCTAATATGACCCTAACTTACTTTGAGGTTTCAGTAGTAATGCACCCTTCTAGTGAAGGTGTTGGAGTCAAGATGTTTGTACTTCCGTGTGAATTGGAAAATTTGTTCATCTCTCTGATTGAGCTGACTTTACTCTGTGTCCTTTGAATTAATAACCCTGTTTGATTTATTCAAGCGATGCCTGTGTCAGGTCTTGTCATCAGTTTGCTCCTAGTATTGACATTTTTCAATATAGTGGCCACTCAGATAACCATCACATTTACCTGACAACCCTCCATTGCATTGATGTTTGTCCATTTTTTCTGCATTTGTTTTTAACTTTGTCTTTTGATAATCAGATGTGTTAAGCCTTATATAGAAATGCCAAGATGTATATGTGTATGTGTATGTGTGTGCACATATGTATATACATACATATACATATGAAAAAATAAAAATTATCAACTTATAAACTGTTATCTGCCCATAAAACCTTGAGGATGCTGGAAGCTTTTCAACTTCCCAAATAGGACACTCATCAAGCGTACCTTTCCAGGCTGTTGAACATTGAGAAATATGAATTCATGAGGAAATTATGTTTATTCATTTAGTCGACAAATGTTCTAGGGATTGAGGACACAGAGAAGGACAAGACAATGTTCCTGCCTTCGTGGAACTTACATTAAATTGGGAGAGTCGGACTGCAAATAAATAGAAATTTAAAAAAATCTAGGTAATGATAAGCATTAAGAAAAAATAATCAAAGTAAGGGGATGGATAGTAACAGAAGAAGGATTGGCAAGTTACAACTGTAATGAGATACCATTTCATACTCACTAGAATGTCTATAATAGATAAGACAGACGTTAACAAATGTGGGCACGGATACTGAGAAACAAGAACCCTCAAACATTGCTGGTGGGAATGTAAAACGGTGTAAATACTTAGGGTAAACAGTTTGGCAGTTAACTCAAAAAGTTAAGCATAAAACCGCCATATGACCCACCAATTCTACTTCTACGTATCTACCCAAGAGAAACAAAAACATATCCACACAAAGACTTACACACATATGTTCACAGCAACAGTACTCAAAATAGCCATACACTGGAAACGACTGGTGGATAGACAGACAAAAAGTAGATTCATACAATGGAATACTCTTCAGCAATACAAAGGAACAAACTACTGACACGTTACGTCATGGATGAACCTCAAAAACATGCTCAGTAAAATAATCCAGGTACAAAAGAATGTGTATCCTCTGATTCTATTTATATGAAATATCCAGAAAAGCCTAACTAATAGAGACAGAAAGTAGATTAGTGGTTTCCTGGGGCTCAGAGTGGAAAAGCAGATCAATGTAAATGGGCATAAAACATCTTATTTGGAGGATGAAAATGTTCCAAAACTGATTTATGGTGGTGGTTGCAACACTGAGTAAAGTTAGTAAAAATCATTGAATTATATACTTGAAATGGGTGAATTTTATACTTTGTAAAATATACCTCGGTAAAGCTATTTAAAACAAAATATAGTAAAGGGGCAAGGGATTTTAAACAGCTTAGTGCAGGGAAGGCCTCTCTGAGGACCTGGCATTTGAACAGAGGCTGAATAAATGAGGCAGTGCCCAATGCAATGATTAGGGAAGAGTGTCCAAGCAGAAGAAACAGCTGGCATAAAGATTCTCGGGGAACTTAGCAATTTAGCAACAGCAAGAGGGCCAATGTCATTAGAGTGAAAATGAGAATCATGGAGAAAGATAGGGTCAGAGATGTAGGCAGGTGTTGTAGGTCACAGTAAGAATTTTGGGTTTTATTTTGAGCATGAAAGGAGGCTGCTGAAAGGACTTTTAGATAATTTACCTTAAAAAAGCCCCTCACTGTCTGCTTTGTAAAAAATCAATGATAGGTGGCAAAAATGGCAGTAGAGAGATCAGATAGCAGACTACCGCGGTAGACCAAGCTAAAAGTCAGTTTGGGTTTGCATCAGTGGTGATGGAGGTGGTAAGAAGAGGTCAGACTCTGGAAATATTTGTGAAGATAGAGCAGACAGGTCTTGATGATATATTGGAAATAGGGTACGAGAAAAAGGAGGATCAAGAATCATTCCTAAGTTTTTTCCTGATATATTAGGTGAATGGATTTGCCATTTACTGAGATGAGATCCTTAAGGGAGGAGCAGTTATGGCAGGTAATCAAGAGTTTGCTTTTACAGCTGTTAAGTTTGAAAAGTCTAGACTTCCAGGTGGACATGTGGAGTATGCAGTTGGATAAATGAGTCTGGAATCAAAGAGAGGAGATTTAGGCTAGATATATAAATTTAGAAATCATTAGCATGTTGGAGGCATTGAAGCAAATGATCTGGATGATGCCATCTAGGGACAGAAATCAGGATGAGGGCGAGGATGTAGTAAAGGAGTTGGAGAATGACCCATTATGAGGTAGGAGGAAAATCAGGAAGTAGGAAGGCAAGAGTCAGGGTCACTGCTGACCTTGACAAGGAGTCTCAGTGGAGTAGTTGGTGTGTGTGGGGCTGGGCTTCGGGATGGGCGGATAGGTGGTGCCTCTATGCGCACCCGTGCTTTGAGCCCTTTTGTTCTGGGTTGGTGCTGGCTGGCTTAAGGATGTGGGGTCAGGGGCGGGGGCTTTGAAGGTTTTTTTAATTTTGTTTTGCATTTTTTTTTGTGATGGGCGCCATTTTGGCTTGGGTGTGATCTGGGTGGGGCTTGGGTATGGTTTGTGCTGTTGTCTGCAGGTTTGTTGTCTTGTTTGGTTGTTTACTGATAGAGTTCTCTGTTCCTTGCTTGCATCCTCTTTGCCTTTTTTCTATTCGATTGGGACCTGTGCTATTGGGTGGGGATTCTTGCTCATTGGGGTCCTTGCTTTGACTTTGTGGTTTTTGCTTTGAGTTCATCGGTGTTCGTGCTCTTGTAGGTGGTTCATGGGTGTTCATGGTTGTTTCTTTGGATTCTTGTCTCTGTTATTTGCTGTACTGTGGTCTTTGCTGGCCTGTATCTCTTTGTTTCCATCCTGTTTGTGGTTTCTTCCGGGTTCGGGGTTTGGGAGGTTTGTGGCTTTTGTTGCTAGGTTTTTAGTTTTGGCGGGCTTGGAGCTCTTGCGTCTCTGATTGAGTTTTGAGGTTTGCCGAGTGTGGAGGGATGTTGTTTCCATTGGGTTGTTGTTTTTTTTATGTCGACTTATTTTTGCTGGGCCTTTGTTCTTGTGCGCCTATTTTTTTTCTTGGTGTACTCTTTGTCTGCGTTATTCCCCACGACCCTTTTTTGCTGAGTCTCATTGTTTGTGGCTCCCTTTTTGTTTGCCAGCTTTTTCTGGAAGGGCCTAGTCTATGATGGGCTAGCGTATGATGGTCGTGCTGTGGCTGGTCCTTTTGTGTGTGTACCTTTAGTGTGTCTCATGTCCGCATTTCGTTTGTGTCTAGTGCTTTTGTGTTTTTCCTTGTTGTTTTTTTTTTTGTTGTTTTTAGTTTTGATTTTTTTAGTGTCCTTTGTATCGTTCTCATTTTTATTCTTCTGATTTTTATTGTTCGGCTTAGAGGAGGGTGGCTTGGCTTTTGTTCCCTTGCCTTTTCTGCGATTGGCTAGTGCATGACTGGGTTTGCGGGGTTTTGTCTTCATGTCTTTTGTTTTCCTGTTTTTTGTTGTTGGGTGTGGTGTGGAGACACATCACATGTTTAGACTGATTATGAAAGGTCAGAGAGAAGTTAAGCTTGGTGGCAAATTGGAGATGAAACGGGGAGGTGAGGAACTGTCTTGTATCGTTTTAAAAGGACTGTTGATGTAGAAGAAGAATCATATTTATTCTGTGCAACTTTGGAGAGTTAAGACTAGAACAGGGAGACAGATTCCACTCAATTTGTGAAGAGCTCCATAGAAAGGAAATTGTTATGTTGTATTCTCAAAGGCGTGAAGCAGGGGCCAGGTGAATATTTGGCAAAGCTTTAGGGGAAATCTTTGACCTTACAACCTCTAAAATTCTATTCAAATCAAGTCACTTGGGACTTGTTTGCAAAAGCCTGAATAACAGAGTACCCTTTCCCAACACTTAGTTATATGGAGGATGGTGGGGGGTTACACTGTACTTTCATGTTGCAGTAATTATATATCCATTAAGTCCATTTCTTCCTGACCCACTGCAGAGTGGGAGGTGAGGAGTTGAGGAGCTAAGTTAGGAAGAGTAGGGAGCTGTGGCTGATCCCAGACGAAAGTGGAAGCAATTCAGTGCTGCAACAGGCAGGGAAGGGCCAACTTTTAGCTCAGCAATTGAGAAATCTTCAGCAGCACACCAGGAGGAATTCACCAGGGGATTGAGAGAGTGACTCAGAGAACATAGGTGGAGGAAGGGTTACAGAGGAACTTTGGCAAAGGAAGCGTTTATGGGTGGAAACCTTGCACAGAGTTGCAGTCAGTGGTGAAGGAAGCCATTTGTTCTGGGAGTGCAGTTTAGAGGGAATATGTTTTGTGCGGGAAGTAGTTTATGAGAGAAGTCTTTGTGGGGAAGAGGGTTATGGGGCTAATGATACTCATGGGAGCACTGTTGAGAAAGTGGTTTGTAGGGTGCTTGCTTTGCTGGGGTGGGGTTTGGGGGTGGGGGGTGTTTGTTGCAGTGAGAGAGGCCACAGGGACAGAAGGAAGAATCCTTGCTGTGGTCTTAAATATATATATATACATATATATATAAACACACACACATATGCATTCAAAATTTTAAATAAAAATCTTACATGATTACAAAAACAATACAAATTAATGAAGAACAATTGGACAATATAAAGAACAAAAAAGAACCCCTATATGCCCTCAGAAAGATAAGCACTGTTATCAGTTTGGTGTGCTTACTACGGATTTGGTATAATTTTTGGAAATTTTTAATGTCCACTTTGTCCCCAACTTTTTACTTTGAAAATCCGGAACCCTGTAAAAAATTCGAAAGAATAGTGTAATGAACTAGGATACCTTCCACCTAATGCGTCAGTTGTTAACATTTGACCACATGCACACTCCTTGTTTCTCCTGAGCCATTTGTGAGTAAATTGCCGCAGACGTCATGTGAGACCACTTGTAAACCCAGCAGCACGTGTCTCGAAAAACAAGGACATCGCCTATATAACAACATTACTGGTATCTCACCTGGGAATATCAATATTCATTCAGGAAGGTCTGCATAGGGCTTACTTTTCAATACGTCTTCCTACAGATTCTAAATGCTTTCCTTTTTCTTAGTTCTCCAGCTCTCATCTTTGAAGGCAGAACTTCAGTCATCAATCTGGCCAGCTAAGCCAGAGTAACTGCATGCTGGGGAAGGTAAGAAAGACTCTGAGAGTGTGGGAACCTGTTAGCTGTCAGAACGGCCTCTCGCTCTCAAAGCCATTACTCTTCCTTTCCCCTGAGCTCATCTCATGCTCTCCTCCAGGCCATGGGCTAGAGCTCCAGGATCCCATCCTCCCTTCCTCTTTCTCTGCTTCCCTCCCTTCCTCTCTCCTTCACCAAAACGTACTCTGCACCTGTTCTGTGCTAGCTTCTGCACCAGAGTCTGCTGACTCAAGCAAACTTGGTCTCTGATCTCAAGAAAGTACAGAAAAGGCAGAGTTTCTCCCTGGTGAGAGGTTTCTGTCCTTGGCTCTGTAACCTGCCATTTAGGAGCATCATGCTCATAGGACTGGCTTGTCCATCTGGTCACCTTACCAGGGCATCTGGGCTTCCCATGGAAAAAGCCTCTGCTCCTTGGACCACTAGTTGCCCCGAAGATCATCATTATCTGATCAGAGTACCAGGCACAGTTTCAAGAAGAGAAAGCAAGCCTCCTTAGCCTGAAATGTTAGCTTAGTTGCTCTCCCATGGGATGATTCTCTGTGTAGGGGAAACATCTGATTTGCAGATTGAGGGACACCTATGTGTATTCTCTTGACCCACGCTTTTTTTTTTTTGATATAGTTGTTGACTGTCCTTTCATGATTGTTCTTAGATGTCAGAATGTAAAAGCGGAGGTCTGTGAGCTAATTTTAATGTTTCAGAAATCTTGATGAAAACCACACATTTACTCTAAATAAGACTATAACATGCTAACTAAAACTAAGTTTATTTGAATTATATCAGTCCATCATGCAACCCTGGTTATCTCATTCTTATCAAAAATTCTGTTTGGTAAAATTTTTTTAAATTAATACAAATAGAACATTGAATTAATTAAATTGCAGTGATTCATGAGTATAATAGCAAAATTTCCTCAAAACTTGAAAGTTTTGGTGCCATCTGAGGATTAAATCAGGTCAGATCAGCCTTTGGTAAATAGTAGCCACCGTTTGTGAAATCAAACTCCTAATCTCCCCAAACTCCTAATCTATCAATGGGGGGAGGCGCCAAGAACCCACAGACTCCAGCTTTGGGGACCAAAATGCAGGCTTAGGCAAGTACAGTGATTTTAGCATCCTCACAACTAAAGTTCAATCAAGTAAACTCTATCCTGCCTCTCTGCTCTTACCTAAATTTGATTTGGGTTATCGTTTATTGCAGATAATTCTGCAAGCTGCCTTTAATGCTATCTTGGAACAAAGTGGAGTGTAAAAGAATACAAACCAACAACTATGAGAATATATTCTGAGAAGGAGATTGGGGAGCTTGGAGATTAGAAAGGGAACTTCTAAATTTTGGGAATTGCTTCCCTGGAAGCCGCCACTGTTCAGGAGTAAGACAGTGGCTCAGTCTTGAATCCTGAGTCAGGAATGTTTCCCCACCCCTATCCTGGCCTGAATGAATCTCAACACTACTCACCAGCCCTGCTCACTAAGGAAACGTTTCTTCATAGTTTGGTCTTCCACTTAAGTCAGGGAGAGAATGTGTGGGGCAGGTTTATTTTCCACTGCACATATTTTTCACTGTAGATCTTGTCTACAGTTTTATTTTGGGATTAGTTTGTGGGAGTCAATCCTGTGAGACTGAAAAACTCCAGATGCACAGGCGAAACTGAATGTGGACCTGTGAGATGAGGACAGGACCCACTGTGTTTGGATAGTTGTGCTGCCTCCACCTCCTGGAGCCATTCCTGGGCTGCCATCTGACCTTTCTGGATGATTTTGTTTTCTCAGTCTAAGCAAGAGAAATAACTGTAACTTAACAAATGTAATTTACAGGGACCCAATGGGGCTGGGAATAATAAAAAGTGTCCTTCGTGATTGAAAGATCAGAAGCCACGAGTTTAGCTGGTTTATCTTACTTTGACTTCAGAGGCTTTTTGCCAGTTGAATTACATGTGGTTCCACTAAAACCTGTTTGACGACTACCTCAAGTTGAAATACTGCATCATGACAATTGTTTGAAAGTCTTTTTCTGTGAAGTTCGCTGTTTCAGCATTTTGTGGCCATTCTAAAAGAGTTGTGTTACTATTACCTATCAACCATTTCACAAATGGTCATCTTCCACTCCACCAGACACACAGGCACACACACACATGCACACACACACACAGACACATTTCTTTACCAGTGTTCTCTCTTTCTCACTCCTAGTGTCTAGGACCATTATGACCTCAGGGATTGCCAGCAATCTCTCCCTGACCTGACAGTCTATCTCCATACTTTTTCCTGTCCACACTGGAACTTCCAAGAACATGGATTTTCAGTCAGACAGATCTGAGTTCAAATGCTGAATC